CCCACCAATGGTCTAGATTATAGATCCATGTCTTTTTTCTTCAGCTTGGAGTCTGAGTAAATCATATTCAACTTGAGTCCAACTGGAGTCCCTGGATAAATGATCACTAACATAAAGAAAAGTGCAAGATCTGTGAGTGAAAACTGGGAGGGTGAAAACTGGAAGGGTGGTTGTCTTTGATCTCCAGTTATAGATACAGATGGGCCAACCATCGTGGTTTAGTGGTGGGATTGCTATTCCTGCACTAGGGGTTTTAAACTGAAAAACTCCCAGGAAACCCAGACAACTGGTCCTCATGGGCACAGAGGAAGAGAGCAACAGAGAACCCAGGCTTGGCTTTGTGTACTGCACATCTTTCTGGGAGCATCTCGAATGCGTCTGGGGGCCTCTTTCAGGTTGTGCTGGGAGTGGTGGCTTGGTGGGTGTAGACAGGCAAGAAATTCTAAGCTGCATGGCTGCACCCATAAGATCTTCAAGGATCGCTGTGGGGAACCATGAGCAGGCTGGGAGAAGTGAGCCCAGAAAGAATCTTAAGGCTTGAGTTCACGATGTGGTTACAGAGACAAGTTTGTGGAACTAGGTTTAGGTTCTGCTGTAAAACTATTTTACCAGGTGGCCTGGAGCAACTTTTTTGACCCTGTTTGGTCTCAGTTTCCTCAGCTGAAAGACAAGAACTAAATATAAATTTGTGGAAGGCTCTTTCTTTCTCCTCCACCCCACTCCATACACCATGGAGAGCACACAGGGCTGCAGAACCACACGTGTGTAGCTCAAGCAGTAAATGCGTGCTGTGCTTCATGCAGAGCCATTCTGGTGGCCATGTGCGCTCAAAACAGGACCAAGGAGTCTTCAGTAACTCTTCCCTCTGCTTAACAAGCTGAGGACTCTTCTGAGAACTCTTGCCCTTTCCTCTCTTTTTCTTTACTTGTTTTTCAGACTGTGACATGTTTACAAGTCTAAGTGCAACTGTGATTTCTGCATTCAGTCCTGTGGTTTCCCCTGGTTTCCTCCTTCTGCTCTTGTCTCCAGGGAGGGAGTGCTGTCCTCAACTTATTGTTTTCTTTAGAGAGACGCGGGGTCTCCCAGCCAGCCGCTGCTGACTTCCTGTTAACCTCTCCATAAACTACTGACAGCTTGCCTCAGCAATTCAGGGTTAGCTCAATGCATTCCCGTTGAGATGAGTCCTCCCTGGCTTCATTAAGGCTCCTGCCAGACTTTCTACCGGGTGCCAGTGTCAGTGCCAGTGGGACCTCGGCAAACGCAAATCAGTCTCTGAGCCCATACTATGGGACAAGCAAGACTGCGGTACAGGGAGCTGGGCCTGGAGAACCATCGGTTTCTCCACGATATGGATCTGAGTAAACAAAAGCTGCCTGGGGTCCAGTGCAGGTCGGTGCCCAGTGGGATAGGCCTGGGATCATAAACCAGAGCACTGCAATGGGAAGCTCGGGGTTATGTGAAGTCCTCTCGGCCTGGCTTAAGGCCCGACTCTGCTCCAGGAGGTTGGACCATGTGACCTTGGGTATGTCCTTGCCATGACAGGAATGACATACCTTGTAGTGAGCTGCTTCTAATTCCATGAGAAAACTGCTTTGAAACAGTTAGCATGGTCCCAGGAACATAAAAATGCTCTTCAGGGGTCACATTATCTATTTTACTTAGTCTAGAAAAGCCAAGGTCAACGCTGAAGCTGCTTTAAGTCCTCAAGGTTTGATTTTGTACTTGTACGATAAATATCAGCCACAAGCCCTGCATCCAAGTCCTTCTTTGCAGACGTGGAAGAACAACCAGATTCCACGCCACTGCATTCCCAAGTGTGTTTCTCCCAGGCTTGAACCTCTGTAAGAGAAACAATTCTTTTTCCTGGGCTCTCTCTCCCCAGTACAAAATAGATACTCAAATGTTGTTTCTAGAGGCAACCAATTTATCCTGACACACACACACACACACACACACACACACACACGAATAACCACATGGATAACCTTCATTGATCAGGAAATCTTAATGCAAGCATTATTATTATTTTTAAATTCATCACTTTGGGAAACCCACCCCTTCCCCGTGTCTCAAAGTGGCCGCCTTGTTCTGGCTCACAGCCATAATTTGCTCACCCCGGACGCTGTTTTAACAAGCTTTGAGTTTTCATGCATTTAATTGGGTTGAAATTATCAGTTTGCCAACCTGCCTTGGGAAGAATCTAGACATACTCATTCTGTGTAGGCCTCAGAGCCGCAGATAGCAAGGGTCAGGAATCAGAAGACAGGAATCTCTGACCTTCGTTGAGGAATTAAACAGGGAAAGAATAAAGTTGGTTGTTATAATTAGGAAGTTCACAGCAAGTGTCCAGGCAGAAAGGCGTGGCAAATCAGGAGGCTCTGTCGGTCCAGCCAGGCACATTACCATACATCCTTGGCCAGGGAGAATCTTTCCTTGTAATCTCAATCCATTTGTTAGGAATAACTATGATATCCTGTAATTATTCTCAAACTTTACTATGAATCACAATCACCCAGAGAATGTGGTAAACTACAGCTCTCTGGGCTCCACCACCAGAATTTCTGATTCAGGAGGTAAAAGCAAAGGTAGTAATTCGCATATCTAATAACCTCCAATCATTCTCATACTGACGTTATGTGCCTTCAACCTTAGTACTCTGAGAGGCTGAGACAGGAAGATTTCAAGTTTGAGTCCAGTCTGAGAAACTTAATGAGACCCTGTCTGAAAAAGGGGGTGTAAATGGGAAAATGTAGTTCAATGTGAAGTCTCTGAGTTCAATTCCAGTATCAAAAAAAAAAAAAAAAAAAGTACATAGTTTGAGACCTAGAAGCCTAAAATAGCAGTTTAAATGGGTTAGAAGCTCTGGTTTTATATTAAAACTGTTCTTTAGTGTTACAAATTAAAACTCAGGTGCCCAAGTCACACCACAGACCACTTACAAAAGAATCTCTTCGGGGGTCAGACCCAGTTGACTGCAATGTCCTAGTAAGTGGGAAGCTGCTAGGCCATAGGCTCCTGGAGGATGTTACTGTCCCTAAAATACCTTAATGGTGGATGTCAACATTTCTGAGTCCAACCCAAGAGTTTTGGGAAGAACTCAAAATGTTCCTTTGCAAGGCTGAAAAATAAACTTCGAGCTTCAGTGTTGTGCTTAGAAGGTATCTGCTGCCTTCTTTTTTGGATTAGACTGTGAGTTGTGGTTGTTTTGCTGTGGCCAAGGAGCCTGAGCTAAGTTAGCATGGGGCATACCATTGGTTTACACAACGTCACAGGCTGGCAGCCCACAGGCTGGGATCCAGTCCTGAAGCCCCACTCCATCACCAACAGGGAAGCTGGGGCCCTAAACCTGAATTTACATTCATTTCTTGATCAGTCTCTAAACAAGTGTTTGCGCTTAGTGTACTAGTGAATGTTATTATTAGTATCTTAAGCTAAGGCTGAGGACAATGGAGACCAAAAAGACCCCCCCAAGGAATGCACTGGTAGCTGTTTTTGTTGCTTGGGCCAAGCTTGTGATTTTACTCAAAGCCTAAACAACAGTCCTGGGCCGGGTGCTCCTCGCATGCTCAGGTGAGAGGGAGGTTCCTCTTAGCTACAGGTTGCACCCCTCATCAATGAGCCTGGCTTTTGTACTCTCTTCAAGGCAACACTGAGGGAATAGGAACCCTTTACTTGGAGGATGGCATGCTTCTCCTATTATTCCAGGGTGTCATTGCCCTAAACATGCTGGCAGTACCTCCCAAGAAATGCCTTGCAAGTCTGTCTTACTTTCCCAGTAGTCAGCCAGAAGCATCTGCCACTGGGGCATATTTTACCCTTGTTCCTTAAGTAACTGTTTGCTTTAATCTCTCTCCCAGGGTTCTTAATGCTAGTAGCTATTCAAGTTTTAAAATAAATGTGTTCCATGAATTACACTGAGAGGCATTCAGCTGGATTGCTGTCCCATCCACACACCATCCCTGTCATTCCCCACACTGTGTTCGGATGGACCAGCAGCTGTATCCAAAATTAAACTTTCCCAGTAAAACTTAAAGTGTGGCACCAGGATTACCTTTAAAAACATTCAAATGCAATAAGATAATAATAATACAAAACAACCAAAATGCCCGTCACCTGAGGAATGGATAAAAAAAGATGTGGTTTTTTTATACAATGGAGTATTAATCAGCTATAATGAATGATAAACTCCAAGCCTTTATAGTGTAGTGGATGCCACTTGAACATATACTCATAAGTGAAATAAACCAGACCCACATGTGTAAATATCGTATAGTCTCCCTAGTATAAGAACTCAAAAGAAGAAATACAAATAGAAAGGTATAGCACAATTAAAAGGAAAGCAAGAACTTGAGGATTGGACAATGAACAGAGGGCAAGGAGAAAAGCTGGGAAACAGGACAGGGACAAAGCCATACATTTATACACACAAGATGGGCAAGGCAATGATCCTGAGAATTTTCAGCAGATTTTTTAAACTAGCAGTTAATTGGTAGAATTCTCATCCTGACTAATTATATATACTGATACCTGTGAACCAAGCAACTGCACTGAAGATAGCAATGTGTAATACTAAGGTCATGCTTGGAATGCCTGTCATTCTGGTCTTCTAAATACATACTGCTTGTCATGTCATACCAATTACTGCCGTACTGTCTCTCAAGTAAATGTTGGTTTTTTTTTTTTTTTTTTTAAAAAAAAGGGTAATAAATGAAAACAAGAGACAAGAAAAAAATGTCACAGGACTGTCCTGCTACAGTGTTGTATATGGTTAGATTTCTAAATTTCTGTGTAAAACTATGTAATTGTTTATTCCTATTTTTTAAAATATTTTTTAAAGTTTTTCCTTCACATTCTGTAGAGATTTAGTTTAACATATCAGTACTTGATGGAAAATACCTGTTCCATGTTATGCCTAAGATGTTTGATATTCAGATAGTGAGGTTAAGCTCAACTGCCTATGATGTAGGGTAATAATATCATTAAGCTTCTCTTCTGGAGGGTTCACAACTTAAGTTTGCAGACAAAAAATTAGAGGAAATAGGAGAGTAGTAGAAGTGAGTCAAAAATCTGGTGTGATTTGGTATCATTCCCCTCCTTAGGAAGGAAACACAGACCCGGGGCAGCTACTGCTGAACCTAGAGTTGATGTACTCAGAAGGAGTGGTACAAGCACATGGGGTCCCAGAAGCAAGGCAACTTAGAGACACACAGGGTTCTCCTTTTCTCTCAAAAGAATTACCAAGGAGAAGTGAGATTTGTCATGCTCTGTGTAAGCACAATACATGCAGCGAAGGCCAACACAGTGGTTCTATCAAGAGACAGACTGCACTTTGAATATTTCATACTTTTAGAACTGCCTGGTGATTGAATGGACTCCCATGGGTGCCAGGAAAAATGCAAAAGCCAAGATGGCAGCACTCTGGTTCAGGCTGTGGAGTGAGGGGCCTCTGGAGGCAGCAGGCTCTGCCCACAGCAGCCCAGTGCAGGCACTTGTCCTGACACCCTGATAGAAAGAACTTTTATGAACAAGGTTGTTGCTGGCACATAGCCACCTTTATGGTTTGTGGTATAAATGCAGCGGAGGGCTGCTGTGAGCATGGGTAGACTAGCAACACGAAGACGGCCAGGAGTATACAGAGACTGTGGTCCACAAGACTGTGGCTAAGCAGCTGAATAAAAGAGGTTAAAGCCAGCCCACAGTTCTGCGCCTGTTCTTCTGGCAGCCTGAATCTTGAGCAGAACTCTCCAGTCTGAACGGTTAACAAGATGGAATAGTAATGCGTTCACCATCCCTGAACATATTCAAGCACAATGTAAAAGGCCACTTAGCAGCAATATGGAGGAGATGGCTCGGCTTGGGGCAGAGGACATGTGGTCTCTGAAGTGCCCTGGAGGTGCGCAAGCAAGCCTGGGACCACGACAGCAAAGGAAGAGAGGTGACACTTTAAGAGGGAAAAAAATGAAAACATCTCAAAACTTATTTGGACACTTTGAATGCCATGTGCCCCCGCCCCAACCCCACAGGAAAGGGGCAGGTCAGAGCACGAAGAGGCTGTCATCCTCCTCCGGTCCGTGCAGTGTGTCGTTGAGGACGCTTTGTCTTTCTGCAAGATTGTAGAAGCTGCAAAGAGAAGAGCCAGGCTGGTAAAAGGCACAGCAGGACTGGGAGAAAAAAATCAAACACAGACACTACTGCTTTATGGTACAACTGATGGGGGGCTGAGTTTAAAATGTCAGAGTCCACCCAGGCTGTTTCTCTTTTTACAAATGGAGAAACTGAGGTTACGCGACATGAAGGTACTTGCAGATGTACAGTAATATCAGAAGAGAAGATACTGTCCTTAGCAAGATGTGGAATCATGATCTAACTGCATTTCTTTACCAGAAAGACCTCCATGAAGGACCCTGGCTGGGCAGCCACCTGGGCCTCTGTCTCCCCACTTGTCAGTGCTGTCTTTATGCTGCCGGTACAGCTCAATTATGCAAATAGGGCTCTTGTCAGCAACTTACACCCAATGTTGATGTTTCTTTCCCAGAAGGCTACAGATGCGACAGATATCCAAGATTCATTTCCCAGGATGCCGCAAACACTGCCAATTTTTATTAAATTAAATAGCAAATTGGGCAGAAGAACCAAATCCCAAGAATAATATTCTTTTTTCCCCCATAATTTTATTGAGAAACAAATAGCAATGAGACAGTTTCAAACCAAATTGGTAGGACAGTTTCAATAATTAACACATTGCATACATTCTTCCTAGTGGTTAATTGCCATACAAAATGCGAACATGATATACTATTTACAAACACCATTAGAACAAATCCCTCTATTCATTAAGAGAATGTAACTATATATCTATCCTAACCACTTTGAATACACAGATACAAAATGGACATTCATCTGTATCCCCTTTTTTTGTTAAGTTCCATCATTTAAATATTATAAGTGTGTAACCTCAGCAAAATATTCTAAAAGAGTTAAGTAGTTCACAATAGTATTGGGTCTTCTGCTTCACTGGCAATGTCAGAAATTGTTGACCTGAGTCAACATAACAGCATGGCTTTACTTCTTATACTTCGTTTTATACTTTTCTACTGGATGGTTAAGACCAAGGTAAAGCAGGGCCTATGCAACAAGAGTTGTAGCTTTTGGGTTTGAGAAGGTCAGTGAAATCCCCGCAGGATTTATGCTAAGATCCTGTACCTCAGATTGTAGAACCTTTGTCAGTGTCAGCCATGTGGATGAGTCACGGCCATTGCTTGGCCAATGTGCTCTCTGTGAAAGCTTAAGAAAATATTTTCTTTCTATGTGACTCTCCTTAGGCACACTCTACATCATTGATCACTTTCCTCTTTGGCCCCATAATCTCCTTGATCAAAAAATTTGGGATACTACTGAGTTACATGTCATTACAGTACAAGTTCTCATATGTCCTGAGTCTTAATTGATCTTGGAAGGCTAGGGCCAAAATGTTGGCTTTCCTTGCGGCCCTCCCTTTTCATCTAATTTTGGTCTGCGAACTTAGGTTGTTAACCATCCAGAAGACAAGCTTATTGTTATTACCATACAACCTAGGCTGTTAAGCTTAACCTCACTATCTGTCTGAATATCAAACATCTTAGGCATAACATGGAACAGGTATTTTTCATCTAGTATTGATATGTTGAACTTTAAGTCCCTATAGTAATATTCTGATTTTTTCATCCTCCACACTTCCAACTCTCCTTCCAGTGAATTCCAGATCAACAATATCAAATCCAGCTCAACTTATAAAAGTGAGCTGCCCAGAGTTGAACAAGTGGAGTACAGAGTTGTGATACATAATCTTTTCTTTTCTGCACACAGTGCTTCTATTGATGTGACCTGCCTTTACTTTCACTGCGGAGAGACCTACAGTATGCACAGAGACACGGGTTAATGTGAGCTAAATCCCCATGTCTCTTTCCCTTCTCATCCTCACATCCCCAGTCTGTTCAGTAGGGACCCAAGCATGAGTCCCTAGACCACAAAGCAGCATCAGATGGTTTTGTAGCAGCGAGTATAACAGTTAAGACCGTCGGTCACGCGGGATGCATTACCTCTTGTGTTTCTGCAGGCAACTGGCTTTCGTGACTTTTCCTGCAAAGACAAGACCACAGCATGAGAGGAGAAGCTGCCACTGGGGTGTGTGGGCCTGAGCAAGGGTCACCGCTCCCTCAGGATGGGCTGGCAGAGGAAGCTGTCCCTCTACCTGGCCTAAGGCTGCCCATTTTAGTTCCCGGCCAGTAGGTAGAATTGTAATTACATAGCTGCTCCAAGTCTGTGGGCCACGTGGTCAGGCTGTTTTATTTAGCAGTCCTTTACTCACCTGGAATTCAAGTAATCATGCGGGCTTTAAAACATTTATGAGCCACACCCCAAATGTTCCAGAACTGTAACCGTGACTTTGTGTGAGAGAAGGCAAAAGGCTTCCGGTGAGTTCTACACCTCCTTTTGCAGCGTTCACCTGGGGAAGCTGTGAGAATAGACAAGCTTCCCTGCTACTCAGGATTGCTGAGACAGCCACTAGTGGCATCTCACGTCCCTGGCAGTAAGTCCTCTCCATTTTAGAATGGTGCCCCGTGCAGGGCCAGTGAGACAGCTGAGTGGATTAAGTGCCTGCTTTGGCAAGCGCAGGGACCAGGGTTCAATCCCGCAGGCCACACTGGCCCTGCCTCTGGGGTGCGCTGAGTCAGCTACCGAGTCTGGGTGTGGTGGTACATGCCTGTACTCCCGGCACTGGGAAGGCTGAAAACAGGAGGACTACTACAAGTCTGAGCTGTGTAGTGAGACCCTGAAGTAAATACATTTAAAAAAAAAAAAAAGGATGGTACTCAGTGCTTTGTACATGGAAACTGCACACTGTTCCTCGACTCCTTCTGGCAGTGTTCTTGAGACCTTGTTTCTCAGGAGCAGAGTGCGAGGTCATGCGGCAGCGTGAGAATTTAGTGAAAGCTACACACCTTGTGCCCTCAAAGTACAGATACAGACAAACAAATGCATTTGCAAATGACGATCGGGGATTCTGAGCTGTCCTGAAGGCCATCCGGGGCCCCTCAGGGAGGAAAGTCTGGCTTTATGTGACACACAAGACCAAGATCAATCATGGCAAAGTCCTGGCCAAAGGGAAAGGTGACTCCAGGGCTTCACAGAACCCCCAACAAGGGCAACAATAACACTTTCCAGGGAGGCAAAACCAAAGCAGGACAAATCATGGTGATCTGTAAGCCTGGAACATAGTGTCTAGTCAAGGAAGGTGCTCTGATTCTTATTTTTACTGTTCCAAAATGTAAATGCGAGCCAGGGAGATGGCTCAGTGGAATAAACGCTTCCCTGGCAAGCACAAGGGCCTCAGTT